ATTGACTAACGGATAGCTCTAATGCTATGTTGCGAAAGACAACTATGACCCGTACGGCTCTGAATTCCACATATAATGTATTATGTATATTACTGACTTTTGTCACTGGCTTTTTTTTTTTTATTCTTTTTTTTTGGTGCATATAGTAAGTTTAACATACGCTCTAGCATTGCCCCAACAGCTTTTGCCGGCACATCAAGCAACATATAATAGCATTTGTTAGGAATGCATAACAGTGCACATTTTATATTTTGAAGAAAAAGACAGTGTGTTGTAGTAACTTTAACGCTTGAAATGTGTTACAGTGGGCTATGACCTATAAACTAGGATCCATGTCTTGTGTAGCTTGCTCTTATGTCGCTTTGTCGTCTTGGGTGTAAAACCCCCTAATGAAAGTCATCTGTGTATATTAGGAGCTCGTCAGGTCATGTATTTTCATCTTGGACGCTTAGTTATAATATAGGTTGAGGTTGACATTAAAAAGAGGAAAGGAGAATACTGGAATAGGGGACCGTAACGTTTAGTCTGGGCTATTAGTTGTTGTCTGGTAGTTGAAGGTCTTGCGTAGTCCCTAACCGGAGGGGACGTGGGGGCTGGGAGGTCGGCCTACAGGGGGCCCTGTTATGTTTGTCGCTATAGTGGGCACAGACTTTTTCTGGGGTATACATCAAATCAGTGCAGTGGGAGTAGAAGTAGGGGTGCTCAATATGAAGGTTGGGTCAAGGGAGCGCTAGAGTCTCAATCTGTGGTGTGATTCCCTATGTCACTGCTCCATGTCCATGTCGGGGGACAAAGAGGGTGACGTTGTCGACATCCCATGTCCCACTTGTATCTTGGGCCTTCCGCTCCTGTGGGGTGTCTCTGATGCCAGGCGCTGTCAGGAATGTGTTGGTCTCCGCCGCATCGGTGGCCTTGAACTGGGTGCCATCTTTAATTACTGTAAGTGATCTAGGGGTAGGCCATCTATATGTTATCCCTGCCTCTTGCAGCATTTGGGTGATGGGTTTCATTGTTTTTCTCCACAGTAGAGTGGTGGGTTGAAGGTCTTGGAAGAGTGAGATCTTGTGGGTCTCAAAGTCCATGGGCGATTTATTATGGATTGCTCTCATCAAGGCTTGTTTGTCTTGTCTCGTTCCGCATCGCAGTATAATGTCCCTAGGTGCTGCGATCGGCGCCCTAGGGGATTTTGCGATACGTTATGCGCCGTCATGTGCGAATTGCATCGCCTGTTTAGCTGGGAGCAATGTAGTTATTAGGCGCCTTATGAGGTGCGGTAATTCTTCTGTGGTCACTGCTTCTGCGACCCCCCTGATCTTTACATTCTTCTGGCGGGATCTTTCATCCAGTAAGTCTAGTCTCAGAGACATGTTTGAGTGTTGCTCTTGTAGTTTCGTTACGGTGTCTCTTACTGCTGCCAGGTTGCTTTGCAGATCAGCTATGTTTGTGTCAGACACCTGGACGCGGGCGGTGACCGCCCGCACCTCGGTCTGCACTGCTGCTATGTCTGCGGCAAAAAGCTTTCGGATTCTGTCGAAGAGGTTATCAATGTCCTGTTTTGTTGCAGGTTCAGTGTTGACTTGGGTTTTGTTTGGATGGGAGCCCCCGTGTGGGTGGTCCCTGTGTGTCTTCACTCACCCCCTCCTTCTCCTGGTAGTCATAGACCCCTGGTTCGGCCTGCTCCAGCTCTCTG